GGGGCCAGGGAGGGGCCCCGGGAGGAGCCCAGGAGGGGGGCCCCGAGGGGCCCCCAGTTTTTTCCCTTTTCTGAAAAATGTGGGCCTGGTTTATAGCCATCTCTTTTTAAGAGAATTTTCTTTATTTAGAAGTTCTTTTTTAAAAATAAAAAATAATCCGAAGTACCGGGGGGTGAAAAGGAAAAGACCCTTTTTTATCCCTTTTGGGTGGGGAAAACAGGAGCCAGGGCCCAGGGTCCCCAGAAAACCCCTGTGGGGGGTCCTGGCGCCGGGGGGGGGGGGGGGGGAGGACTTTCTAGGAAGATGCAGGGCAGGTGCTGTTCTTCCTTAAAGCACAGCTTCTAATCTAGACCCATCCAGACTGGGCCGAGACAGCAAAGAGGGAGAGTCAGTGCCATCCTTTCCCTGAAATTTATGATCAGCTGACTGAGACCCATCGCCCAAAAATGAACCAAAGACCATGATGGATGAAAGCCACCGTGTCATTTGATCCCATGCCTGGGAACTGGGTTTTAGAGGAGCAGCATCTAGAGTCTATTCCTTCTTCCTGAGGGTCAGCCACGGTTATTCCAACCGTAGATTTTGCCATTTACAGTTTTTCTTGCAAAAACTAAGCCCGGGCATTTTAAACACAATCTTAACTGACTGCATCCCCTTGGCGCACGTATCATTTATGTGAATTAATAGTACACAGTGGCCCCACCACGTACCAGCAGGGTGGCCATAAGCAGTTACTCGGGCCCCATGTGCCTCAGTTTCCCCATCTGTGTCACGGGATGATAATCGTATGCACTTCTTAGGGCTACTGTGAGGATTAACTGCATAAGACACTTTGTGCCTGGCATAGAGCAAGCATTTAATAATTGCTGGGGTGCTTTATTATTGTTGTTGCTGTTGTTATTTTGGATGTTCCAGAGAGGCTGGTGGAGAGGGCCTAAACTCTGCACCCAACCCCCACCCTTGGTGTCCCCACCACCACCCATGACAGTCAGTGACTAGGCTCTGATCCCATCTCTGAAATCTTGGGCAAGTTGCATCCCCTCTGGGGCTCAGTCTGTGAAATGGGCTAGTAATACACAGTCCTGTCCACCAGGGGGCAGTGGTGAGAAGGAAGTAAGTGAAAGCATTTAGGTTTTAAAGCACCAGGCCAATGCAGGTGTGAGTTCTGAGCAGCCTCCCCCTCTATCGCTGTTTCTTCCTCTTCTCTCCTCTCTAGTACGTAAAGAACATCCCCGACATGAACAAATACGAGGGCTGGCCGGAGCTGCTGGAGATGGAGGGCTGTGTGCCCCGGAAGGTGTTTTAGGGCTGCGGCTCCTCCTGGCAGCCGCCAGCGGGACTGGATGGAGCTGAAGGACAGCGGGCAGCGGGCAGCGGGCAGCGGACAGCGCAGGGTGAGGCCGGCCCAGCAGCATGAAGGTGCTGAGGATCCCCGCCCTCTCTGCAGCTTCCCCTCCGGGCGAACGCAAGCTCCCATGGGCGATGGACGATGGGCGGAGGCAGCTGTCCCGCTTGGAGGTGACCAGCCCCGGAGGGTCCCTCCGGAGCCGCTGTCGATGGAGAGAACAGGTGCTTTCCCTCGAGAACTCTGACCGTTGCCCCAGGAGAGGGCAGACTGCCCGCCCGGGCAGAATTAAATTGTATTTTTGCTCACCTTGAATGACCTTTGTGGCCACTCGGTGTGCAGCGTTTCTCCCCGAGATGGAAATGGTCTCGATTGGGGTTACTTGGGCTCCACGTTCAGACAGGTGGGTGACAGAGTCCGGGACCTGGTCTGCAGCCAGGAAGGAGGTTGGTGGCAGAGGGATTTCCGTTTAGGCGTGAAAGATGCCGTGGATCCCAGCAGAGGGTGTGAGACCCCCAGGAACAGAGCTGAGGGCTGCGCGCCGAGAACATGCACCTGCTGTTGGAATGAGAGGGAGAGGACAGGGAAGGGAGGGGTCTGACAGGGGCCTGGAAGGCAGGCCTCAGGGGGAGCGTCCCCGCTGTCTTCGCCAAGTGCCCAGGCACAGCCCTTAGGTTTATTTAGAAAGTGATTCTAGAAAACAGAAGAGAAGGAGCCCATAAAGACTGTATGGGAGAGAGTGGCGCGAACCCCAGGGGCACACCCCAGAGGTCTCTTCCTGAGCGTCGGGAGCCGGGGTCCTATGCACCCCCCCCTCGGTCACTATTGGAGGGCTGCTAGTGCCCGTGGTCATCTCAGCTTCGCAGACAGTCCTTGGCCCAGAGCTGCCAACGCCAGCCACTGGCGCCCACTGAAGTGACGAGACCAACGAGATACGGTGCTTTCCCTTCCTCCCCGAGTCTCTGAGAAGGGCCAGGGGCCCTAGACCAAGTCCTGGGAGCAGAAAGCACTGGCACTCGGGCTCCTGGCATGTGTGGCAGGAAGACTGCAAGGCTGGTGGAGATGCCCCACCCCCGAAGCGAAACCCCGAGCAGGGGCCCCGCAGAAGCTGAAGTCCGAGCCGTTGGGGTGGGCTCCCAGCTCCAAGCTCCCAGCCCTGGGGACAGAATTGAAGCCCCCCCCTCCCCCACCCCCGGCCCCGGGGGGGGGGTCCAGGCTCCAAGCCTTGGGGAAGGAATTAAGGCCCCATGCCCCTGGGTCGGGCTCAGGGTGAAGTCGCCCCCCTGGGGACAGACGGCTTTCAAATGTCCTGAGGGAACGTGGGGTGGAGAAGAACGGGTGTGGAGGCTTTGGCAGGGCCAGGGCGGGCGGGACACGGGCTGCAGGCGCAGTGGGGTCAAGATCAAGGTTAAAAGCCTGATGGTGGCTTGAGCAGGCTTGGCTGAGGAAGGAGCCCAGCCAGCCACCCGGGCAGCTCCATCGGCCCCTCCTCCCGCCCTCAGGGATTAGAAGGGGTGGAGAGGCTGCTGGCAGCCCCAGCCAACCACTCACACAGACACCAAGTCAATATCCAATGTCGTGCTTGCTTGCAGCTTTATAAGCAAACAAATGTGCTCCATTCCTCCCATGTGGTCCCAAGTGGCCAGGCCCCCTGCCCACACTGGACACCAGGTGCTGACAAGAGGCTCCCACTGAACCCCAACACCTTCCTTCCCGGCCCCCAGGACTCACTGAGGAAAGCTGACCCTGACCGAGCCCCTCCTTTCCTCTCAGCTGACGCACTTGTTCTCATCTGCAGTCGCCCACCACAGCTGGGCCGGCTCCGCGCTGGCTCTGCCGCCTGCTGGCGTGAGCAGGTCATGTCTCCGCCCTGAGCCAGTTCCCCCTTTGGTAAATGGGGGGTTATATCAGTTTCTCAGAGGTTCAAGAAATTGATAAAATAGCCACATCACCAAACATTGTCAAAAAATAGAAATAAATAGAAAACTTCTGACCAGACACCTGCTCTGGAATGGAGGTGGCAGGAAGTTTCTTTATCACCATAAACCACCTCTGTATGTTTGAATTCTTTTCTTCACAAGCAAGAATACCCCCATGAAACTGACATCTATGCACAGCACAGTACCTCCTGGGACCAGACAGAAGCTGGGACTTTGCCTGAAAGCTCCCCTTTGCTTGTTGCTTCCCCTTCCCCATCCTGCTGCCCGCTCCCTTACCCATGTCCCCAGGGGCCAGTCCTAAATAAGTCACTTTCCATGAGTCCTCTTCCTGGAGCTGGCTTCTGGGGAGCCGTCCTAAGAGAGGCCGTGGGCATGGCCCCTGGCTGGGTCTGAGCCTGGGCCTGGGCTAGGAGACGGGACCACGGGTCTGCAGGAACTGCCACTGAAAGCCAGCTCTCCATGGGAAAAAGCTCAGAGCCAGGGAGCTGCGCCTGCCGTGGAGCCGGTGGGCGGCACCTGCCGCTGCTCCCTAGGAGCACGAGGCCGAGATGCTGGCCATGCACCGCCCCCGCCCCTCCCCACCCGCGGCAGGCTCAGTGGTCATCCTCCTGGTGGGTTACGGAAAAGGAGGCCAACAGGCCATCAGCAGCACCACCAGAGCCCACCGGGGAGGCAGCATGCTAGAACCAGCCCCCTGGGGTGCCCTGGGGTGGGCATGCAAAGTGGCCAACATCTGCCAGACTCAACATTGTTCCCAGGGCACTACAGGGACCCCCATCGCTCAGGATTGGGGCAGGTCAGAGCCCAAGAAAATGGCTGCAGAGAGCTGTCTGTGTCATTGAGCCAGTTTCCTCACACCTCTGTTGTTCCTCACCTGCTATGTGCCAGCAACTAGGTGGCACTGGAGACACTGCGGTGAGGATACCCAGGCACAGTCCCTGCTCGTGGTCTGGGGTGGGGAGAGCAGACCAAGAAGCAGCCTGGCTTGGGAAGGACCACATTGGGGAAGGACTACAGAATCTGGGAAGGCGTCCTGGAGGAAGCTTCGGGAATGCACAGGAGTTCACCCGGCAAAGAGGGGAAGGAGGAGTGTGCCGGGCAAGGGGACAGCATGAACAAGGCCGGGAAGGGCAGAGGGCAGGTGATAAGGGCCGAGTGGGCAGGAATGAGAGCCTGAAAGGCCTTGTGGGCTGGGAAAAGGAGCTTGGACTTAGTCCAGGGGCCACAGGGACACTAAGAGATTTAAGCTGGGGAGGGGCGTGATCAGATTTGCATTATTTTTTTAAAATCCCTCCTGGCTGCTGTGGGTAGAGGCAGTAGAGGCAGGAAGCCAGGGAGGAGGCTGGCCTCACCCAGGGGGACAGGGAGGTGGCAGGGACCAGGGATGGCATGGGGATGGACAAAAAAGGACCAGCCCTAGGGATATTCAGGAAGTGAAATGGGCAAGACTGTGGAATGATTTTCTCATCATCAGGGTGGACATGTCATCATCTGGAATCTCTACAAGCTACCCATGGTCTCAGAATGCGGAGCTAGTATTTCCCTGCCCTCCTGGTCAACAAGCCTTTGCTGTCTGCCAGGGGCGTGAGGATGGGCGGTGAGGGTTCGCACACAGCAAGCGCTTTCCAGTGGCTGTAGTTCTAGACCTTGCCACTAGGTGGGAGCCCAAGATAGAAAGGGAAGGGCGGCCAGGCTTCCCCGCCCACCAGTTCTTAGGAAAGGTTTTGTGCTTAATGGACTTGCCAATGGGCAGGGGGTTTACATCACTGTTATTAACAGCATCGTAACAGCAGCGCCTGGCTTCTATGGAGCATTGCTGTTGTCCAAACATTCTCTATGCAGAGTTTCACATGAATTACTTCATTTCATCCTCACAGCCCGTGGGGTTGGGGGCCATTGTTATCCCCTTTATACATGAGGAAAATGAGGCTCAGAGAGGTCAAGTGACTTGTCCAAAGTCACACAGCCAAGGAGCCTCAGAATAAGGATTGGCATTCCAGTCGATCCCATCACTACAGGAAACAGACTTTTCAGAAACCCTTCCCCTAAAACTATTCTGAGGTGAGCATTGACCCCGACCACCACCTCCTCCTCCTAACCCCTGCCCTTCCTCCTCTTCCTCCTGAATGCCGCTGAAGACATTTGAAAATTGCTCAGAACCTCTGAATCAACATTCTCAGTGCACACGGTGCAATATACAGATCTTGTAACATAGAAACACACACCTGAAACCTATATGATCATGTTGACCAATGTCACCCCAAAATTTTTTAAGACAGAATCAAAACACCCACCATCACTGCTTTGGGAGAGGTGGGGAGGGAGCGTCATTGAGAGATTTGGAACTCCTCTTCAAACCCCTCCCACATTTTTCAAGCTAGCTTCCTTCTACAAAGTTATGGGTCGAAAAGGAGCGGTTGTTTATCCCCATTTTGCAGATGGGGAAAAAGAGGCGAAGAGCTGTGCTTAGGCCACACGGTGAGACAGGGAAGAGCTGGACCTGGAACACCTGTTCCTGGACCCTTCACCACCAACTCCGTGCCAGGCCCTAGATGAGGCTCCGAGACCACCACCCCACTTTTCCCGCCCATGGCATCAGGTCCAATGCTGCATTTCGGACCCACATCTCGCCAAGAGCCAGGCTTCAGACTTTCAGCCAATGGAGGCCCCCAGTCAACCAGGCTTTGGCAGATGGCGGGGGGGGGGGGGAATTAATAAATATGAAATTCCTTTTAACTCCTCCCACCCCACCAAGAGGCAAACTGGTGGGTACTTTTGGGATGGCTGCCAAAGGAGTTAGACCAGGGGTGGGCAAACTTTTTGACTCGAGGGCCACAATGGGTTCTTAAACTGGACCGGAGGGCCGGAACAAAAGCATGGATGGAGTGTTTGTGTGAACTAATATAAATTCAAAGTAAACATCATTACATAAAAGGGTATGGTCTTTTTTTTTTTTTAGTTTTATTCATTTCAAACGGGCTGGATCCGGCCCGCGGGCCGTAGTTTGCCCACGGCTGAGCTAGACCTTCAGGTTGACTTGCGGCATTTTTACTGCTGGTCTGACTGCCCATTCAGCCCTTGGCTACTTGGGGGATGCTCTTCTTACGACGGGAAATCAGAGGCTGGGCCCCAGCCACGACTGGAACAGAAAGAAAGGAACAGGATGCAGCAGCAGCGGGGGCTGGACCAGGAGAAGGGGCAGAAGGAAGGAGCCACGCTTTTGCTTGGCTGGAGGGGACGCGGGTGTGGAGGGACGCACAGCAACAATAACAAGAGCAGTAGTCATGGCTGTGCAGGGAGCACCTGCGATGAGCCGGGCTGTGTTAGGCACTCTCCATGCTTCGACTGTTTTATTTAATCCTCCATCATTTCCCA